TTTCAGGTATTTCAATAAGTACATAACTGTAAATAATTAGTTAACATCGAAGAAATTTATGTTTTATTACATACAAGGACGACATAATGAGGTACTCGTTCATAATAGAATATTTAAACAATTTTTTTTCATTCTATACTTATATCTTATCATTCGTAACTGATAGTAAAAAGTAATAAATATTATAAAAAAATAAAGGTGCAGCTGACGGACGTCATTAGGATTCGAAAGATTTTTAGTGATTAAATAAATACTTGTGATATATATAAAAATATATGACAAATTATAAATAAATAAAATTGGCAGAGTAAAGAAAAAATTATTAGTTTTAATTTAAAACCAACATATGAAGTAAAATGAAGCCAAACGTACAAAATTTATCTTAGAAATAAACAATATTACTCAGTTTAATAATTGAATAAAATTAAACCAAATAAGTCAACTTGGTAATTACAAAATATTTGTAATCATTAAATTGTAATTTAAAATTAGAAATAAAATTATTTAGATTAATTTAATGTTAAAAAAAAATATAACAATAACATTTGTATAGAAAGTCTACGAATAATACAGATTAGATAAATATCACTCAATAAATGTGTTGGTAGGTACATGGAAACTCTATAAAGAACTCTAACAGAAGTTTGCACAATTTGAACTTTCTCTTTAATTTGAAAATAGTACCTACACCAAAAAAGTAAAAGAAAAATTAGAAAATTAAAATTGATTATAATGATATTAGTACGCTAAAATGTGTACATAATTAAGATTTTCGAAAATGACATTGTATCAATGATACACTTATAATATTAACGTTTTCGATAATTAATTTAGTCGAAGACATATATTTAATAAAATATAAAATATATAAGTATGGTACACCTTTTTTAAAACGTTTACATATACTTAACATCAATACAATATTGTATTTAATGTTATAAAGCACACAAATGGGTGATGAATATATAATACCAAAATAAAAGATTAAAAGAAACAAGGCATAAAATAAAATATATATAGAATAGAGATAAATTATATTTATCGTAGAACTACCTAATTTGAATAAAAAAATTGCAATGAACAAGCTATTGACAATTAACTATGGATTAATGAATTTGTAAGTCCATTAAAACACATGATAGGAAAATGCGATTCGCAAATAATAAAACCAATATTAATTAAGTACATACCTGATTAAATAATAGGAAGAATATAAAACAAATTACTAATAATAAAACTCAATTGTACCAAACGGGAAATAACTAAAACTGATTATTAACACACTAGAGACGCAAAATGAAAAAACAAATTATAAAAGAACAAGATGGCGGATGATCAAGCGTCATTTTGCGTACACGGAGTTAGGCGCATGCGCTACACAAATGTTAATATGTTTACATCAAAGATATTCTATAAATTGTGTACAATATAAGGATAAAAACAACAAAAATTATGGAAACCATCATGGAACAAAAATTATGTCAATAGTTTCATAATATATTTATTTTATTTTCTTAGTTTAGCTTTTGTTAGCTTCAACAGCAAGATCATTATACCGTTATTAATTAATTCTGTGATCACAGAATCATGTTGTTTTATATTTTTGTGTCTATGATGGACAGTAGATAGGATAGTAGATAGGACAGTAGATACAATTTGAATAACTTTTTCAGGGTCTGACAAATAAATGCAATATTAACTTGTAGATTCGCGGACGTTTCGTCCCTGTCTATTATTAAGATAAGACATTTGGCCCCCGGGATTAATGTAGATTTATTTATACCTACACATAGAACGTTTGGCCCTGGTTAGGATACGTTATTACGTTCTAAATTAACTCAAAAAAATAATATAGGTAAGTAAATTAACAAGTTAACCATTTTACGAATACCTTTTTACCTTTATCACATATCGATAGATATTTATCTTATTCGAAAGTCTTACCGACAAATTATATTGCTCGACTAGTATTTATTAGTCCAGACAGTGGAAAAATGTTAACTTTTTCTGTTTCTATTGTAAAGACTAAATAATATTTTATGCCTGCCCTGGATACTATAATAGTATATTACACAGAGCACTAATTCGTAGTACTAATTTATCAGTGTAATTGTACCTACGTCAATGAATTATGCAGTTGTTAACCACGAAAAAAATAAAATAAAAAATTTGTCAAAAAAAATCATTACGAAGATAAAATAAAATGATATTGTATTGAATTTAAGTGTAGTAATGATAATGATATTTTATATTTTTTGAAAAGAAGAAGTGATCTAATATAAATAATTGTGTATAAATAAATCTATATCATTCCCGAAGGTTAGTTGTCCTAACTTAATAATAGGCGGGGTCGAGACGTCCGTGGACTCTTTTTTTTACAGGAACGAAACGGTGTTGGCAAAACGTCTGCGAACCTACCCTGTGATCTAACCATAGATTCAATTAAATGTAATCTGATCTATTGACGTTTGATATATAATATTTTATTTCTATATTATAATAAATTTATGATTCAAAATTTAGAACTTTTTGTTTAAACTGAATACATATCAGGAATTAAGCAATCGAAAATTTAATTATCATCGTTGATAATATTATTCGATTTGTATTTATAAATCGTGTTAAATATTAAAGTTAAATATTTTAAAGTGATTATTATTATTATTATTATTATTGTTTTATTATCTATATAAATAATTACTCAAATATAAACAATGGAGATTAAATACACTATATTTTAACTTTATTGTCAATTTAAGTTCTCAACAATTATTAATAATTTATTAAAGATATATTTATTTAGCTCTTCGATATTTATTCAATTAGAAATAAAATGTTTAATAAAGACGATATAGACTATGATGTAGGAAGCTACAGATGTGAAGGATCAATAGAGCATTTTAAATTCAGGTAATGCATATTGATAAAGTACATACAATTATCAAAGGTGAGCAAGTTAATGAAAATAATTAACTCCAGTTAAGTTAAGAGAACACAAGATCGATAAGTTAAAACTAAATAGTTAACTATTCATAAATTTAACTCGTGAAGTTAAAGTTAATAAAGAAAAAAATATTAACTTAGTTTAAAAAAAAGGTAATCTACTTTTTTTAATTAGTATATAAATCTTATAAAAAATTACTTCATTCTTTAGAAAGATCTAATTTCCTAAATTAAAATAAACAATTTTATTGCATTTTTATTATAATATACAGCAGTGGCTCTGAAGTGTTTGAAAAATACTATGACATGGTACATCAAGGGACTACTCACTACCATATTTATTTATTTTTATAGTTAAATTCTTTATACATAACATTCTGTACCCACGGCCAGAACCTTATACCCAAAAGTAAGCCCCCAAACTATAAAATCTAATATGACATCTGGTGTACAGTGTATGCGATCTTTTTACTTTACATGATTATTTAATATTTAGATTAATATTTACGTATAAACAAAAAATTTCAAAATTTTTAACTCTATAGATCGTTTTAAATCAACTGTGAAAAGCTAAGTTATTTCAACTGACAATTAAACTAATTAAGTTAAAAAATTTTAAAAAAATTAACTTTTTAACTAATTAATGCCCACCTTTGACAATTATGTCTTAAATTATCCATAGATAGGAAAGAAGAAATGTAATGGAAAATATAAATACTTCAGCCAAAAGATCTATTCACTACATAACCATAAAAAAATTATATTGATAAATTTATTTTTATTGGAATTTAATTCGTTATTTAACCAAAAACATTTTTTAATTTAATATATAACATGTAAGAATTATGAAACAATATTGACCGTCACTACTGATTTGCCTCCTGTAATTAAATAATAATTTAATTTTAGCTTTTACATATTTTATTATATCATTACATTAATTAATAGCTTTAAGGTTATGTATAATATTATTTTAAAGTTAATATAATTTATAATAAACTAAAGACAATTATGTAAAATTAATTTAATAGAATATTAGTTCAGTCTCTAATTTTTTAACATTCAATTGTTGTAGCCTGACTAAATATTATTATTATTATTTACATAATAAATTAAAAAAAAATTATGAATCTATTGTTTGATATTAACATTAATTTTATATTCCTTGACCTTTATTATGTTTTTTACAATATAATATGTGAATTTATAATTATCATAGTATTAAAACTAGTATTAACATAGTATGTATTAAAATTAGTAAAATATCTTCAATTTAATTCTTCTATTTAGGGTATGTTTAGAAATATCTCGTACTTCATTTCACCACAAGAATAAGGACATTGAAAAAAAGTATACAAAAAAAGTTGAAAAAATTTTTCATTGGATGGAAAAAACTGTTGAAGAACCACAAGATCATAATGATTTTGAAGAAACATCTTCATCAATTGAAGGAAAACTTATGGATAGTCATTTTAAAACTGATTTTAATGAACAATTTGTGAGATCATGTTTTTAAATATAATGTTTTTATAATCACATTATTAATCTTTTTATTAATTATAATATAAACAATTTAAATTTAATACATTTTAGAGTTGTAGAACAATTTTACATGATATTACGAACCATGAAAATGTAATTACTGAATCATTTAAGAAATTGAGCTTATTAAATAACTATAAAAAGAATTTACATTATTTTACTAAAAACATTATGGAGGATTCACCATCTGATTCTTTAAAACTTCAAAATAGATTACCGCATCTGAATCAAATTATGCATGTTCTTCTTGATCTTGGAAATAATGAGTATAAAATAAATTATATTTTCTAATAAATTTTTTTTCTTTTCTTTTTTATAAGAATATAAATTTGTTTAAAATAACTTATAACATATCATATTTATTCTATGTATTAATATTTTTAGTATAGAAAATGAAGAAAATAATTTTGTATTGGCTTCATTATATTGGAACCCTAACAGCCAAATATTAAGAATTTTTCCTGATTTTACATTTAACAACTGTGCAGGATATATTCTTCCAATCAGTACTGTCAAGGATTCATGTTTTGAGTATCGATTTTGGATAGAAAATCTCTCTAATGAATCCCTTGAACTAATAACTGATACAGTAAATGTAAAGTATTATTTATGACAATATATTATTAGTTTTAAGTTCTATATATCTTTTTCAATAAACATTTTATTTTTTCTAGTTTCATCTACTTAAATTGGATCATTACGACTTTTATGTACCAGAAAGTGATACTATTGAAATATTCGCTGAAATAACTTCAGCTATCGGATTTGAATATGACAATTTATTTATTCGTTATTATGTAGATATTCCATCAGGTATTTAATTAAAATTTAACAGTATGGCTTTTTGAAGTCTTTATTTTTTTAATGTATCTTGTTTGTTTGACATTTAAGAAAATGTATATTATAATTAACACATAGGTAGTTAACATTTACCTTAATGAAAGTATAATATTGCACTTTATAATTATAATTTTAAATAGTTCAATTGTTTTATAAAATTAAATTCCATTTTTATTTTTTTTTTTATTTTATTTAATAGAAAAATAAATAAAAAGATATTAAATGCTGAAATATTGTTATCAGGTGTGGTTCTATAAATGAAAAAATAAGGGCTAGTAAAGTGAGTTTACTGCTATAATTTGCTGCATATGTCGATCTGTACGAAGTCTTATGTCTAATTTTTTAAATATTTCAAGTACCTAGGTTTAATATGATTATACCTAATGTCTAAAGGGGGGCTTCAGCACCCATATCCCCCTTCTTTGTATCCACACCTAATTGTTATCACTACATGAACTTATTAACATTGATTTATATGCTTTTGTTTGAATTTAAAATATAAAATAAAATCTGTTATTTATGTACAACATTCATATAAAAAAAATGGATGACTAATATTGTGAATATATTTATATTATTAGTCTAATTTATGTATTTAATTTCTTAAGTAAATGTTTAGTTAGTATATTTAATATCAAAAAAAAAAAAAAATTTATTTATGAATTCTTTTACATTTAAATTTTTCATAGAACTTGAATTTGCTCCTTACCTAAATATTTCTCAGACCACATGGTTATAATTTGTGGGTGGGTGTGTTTTTTAAGCTCGATCCAGCCCAAAACTTAAACTTACCAAATGCTCCCACCTAAGTCCGGTCCTTAATTTTTTTTTGAAGTCCAACACGACCGGACCCATACGTAATATTTATTATCTATTTTTATTATGATTTGTGACAAGCCTACTCCATCAATTTGGAAACATTTCCTTATCTAACACCATAATCGGCATTAATATTGTACTTTTATGTTATATTTAGGTAGTTTTATTTTTTATCAGCTCATTCCAAAGAAAAATATTATGATCCCATCCATAACCAACCTGCAATATTTATATTATGGCATGGCCCGGGTCGGGCTACTCTGGCCCGTGCAGATCTCTAATGTGTAGATAAAAATATATAATATTATGATGTATATACATTTACTAATAATTAAATAAAATGTATTAAATTATTTTAAATAATAAATAATAATCTGTGTATGGACTATGCTTAAAATGATGATATAATAAAATTAAATAATTAATTATTTGTAGCATGCTAATAAATACTACCAAAAATAATGTTTATAAATAAAAACATGGCATATACATTGATCAAAATGATAAATCAAAAGTTATAGTATTTTTTTTTATTGTATCAAATTGTATTGAAATAAAAAAAAAGACATACTAGACACACTGTAATATTATGTGTTATATTTGCAGAATGGAAATGTACTGATACTAATACTCTCCATGGAACTACCCAAACATGTCGACGAAATAATCATATGGCATCTATATTTTCATATTTATTCAATGTTAGCCTAATATTACCAAAAATCAATGGTTAGGTTTTTAAATTTTTTTTTTTCTGTTAGTATTCAATTAAATATTTGATTTAATATCTTAGATCAAAACATTAACTCAGCATTTATAACATTTGTAATATACTCAATTGATTCATGGAACAAGGAACGAGTTGAAGGATATACATCTTATCAAATTCCAAAATATACTACCTTAAGTTCATATAAAAAAAATATTAAATTAGAAGCATGGCTACCAAAGTCTAGAAAATATGTAGATGATTTACGTCGATATTTTATTGGTGGATCAGTAAAATTGGTTGAACCTAATTATATTAATATACCTACCAATTTCAAAGTAAATTAAAGTTCAATAATTATTTTAATTATTATTTAACTTTTATATTTTGAATTTTTTAAAAAATATTATTTTTTTTTTCTAGGATAAATTTTTGAGCAAATTCGGAATGGAATTAGAACAAAGAGGTACATTAAGCATTACTCTGTGTTATTTAAGACAGAATTGTAAAAGTATTGAAAATATTAATAATATTAAAACTAGTGATGTTGTTTCTGCACAAGCGCTAGTAAAAAGTGTCAATAATGTAATGGCTAGTTTTAAAAGAGCACGTCAGAGAATGCTTTTAGCTTGTCAACCAATATTAAGTCCAACTCATAGTTAAATCTTACTTATAACTATATAAGTTTATATAACTTTATATAATTTTATAAGGTTTTATAACTATACAATAATTATGTATATTTTTTTTAGTCAATGGTTTGATATGAAACATAAATAATTTGATTTTTATTTTATCAAACAGATTTTTTTATTCTGCTTTCATATCATATTATATTGTTTGTTTAATTTCTGTGAATTACTATTTATAGTTAATATTATTTAATCATTAATTGAACTGTAGGTCAATATTTTTTAAGTAATTAAAAATTAAAATATGTCTAATAAACAAACAAACTTGCCGTTAATAAATAATGAATAATAAACAACTTTTTTTTTTAGCTAATTGATGTTATTTTAATTACATTAGAAAAAAAATTAAAATAAATTTATTATGTTGACTCTTCTCCATTGCAATATAACTTAATAAATTAATTTATGACTAATTTTGTATATCCAACAAAATCTTGCTTTAAAAAAATGTATGTCATATTTTAATATGATCAACAGTGTTGCTAAAATATTTAGTCCAATACTCTTTATTTCAAAAAACTTTTTTTTTTTTGAAAACAGTGATATTGTTTTATTAAAAGATTCTGCAGCAATAATATGAACACTTTTACCTGACTATTTCTTACTTGCTTCTATCTTTCCATTACACATTTAATAATAAATAGAATTATAGTTGTAAAATGCTAATAATATTAATATCTAGAGCCATGTTTATGTAATGATAAATAGGATATTTGTATTGGATCTACTAATAATATGCATAAAAAATTATATATAGGTACTTTGTTCATCAAATTTGAAGAAGAAAAAAACTAAATTATGGTTATTTAACAAAAACGAGATAAAAAAAAGTTTATATTTTGTATTTTTATTATATTGTAAATAATTATATGATAGTGTAAAAGTCTAATCTATACCCAATAAATGTCAATCATACTATAAACATTTCTCACGGAGAATAAATAACAATTTTTATTACCAAGGGAGGATTGGCCCATCGGGAAATCAGAAATCTTCCTGATGGCTGATCCTTGTTTGGGCCGTTCTATATTATTATATAATTACTAAAAAAAAGTTTTATTTTATAAAATAAATAAAAATCATTAAAAAAATAAATATATATTTTAAGATGCATTAAGATCAAACATCTAGTTCAAGTTGGAACTGATTAATCATGTGACTTATCCAAAACTATTATAGCTATAATTATAGTAAAGTTATTGTAGATTTTACTAATTTAGAGGTGAAACTAGACAAATTTTGAAATTGATGCAAAATAAAGTATTTTTTTGAGAAGGGGGAGGTAAAATAGTTTAATTTGCGGTTCATAGGCTGAAAATAATTGCTAATCCGTCCCTGACTATTACCACTTATTAAGAATTTATTGAAAAACGTATTTTCAATAATGTCCTTGTACGACTCTCTAATAGATTTCGTGAGTTCGAGAATATTTTGATGTTTATCATCAGGGCTCATAACTTTTATCATTTGCATATTTCTTTTCGAGGTTTTTATGATACCTTTGTGACCTAATACTTGTTTTAGATAACTAAGAAGCTCAATACGAAATTTATGTTGCATATTTTTGCATTTATCAAAACATGTGTGCTATTTTGCTTTTTAAGTCTTTCAGTTCCGTAATCTTTAAAAAAAAATTTCTTTATATTAAGAAGTACCATATTATGTTTAGTAGTCTTCTTCTATTTTGGGTTAAAATATATAAAATGTAAGCAAAATAAAAGTATGTTGTATCCAAGGCCGTATTTGTGAGGCCTGGGTGTCTGGACCTCCCCTCCCCCGAAATTTATTTAATATTTTACGAATGTTTAAAATAATTATTCATTTTTAATACCAACATAAATATTTTCAGTCAAAAAAGACTTAAGCTCCAATTAATCATTGACTGCTTTTAATTTTATATCATAATATAATATGAAAATATGATATTAATTTTAACAAAAGAAAATTAAATCTTTTTCTATCTTATTTTTAACCAAAAATCAAAAGTTAAAATCTAAATTCAATAAAATTATAATGTATATGTTTTGGACCCTCCCGAAAAAATTTCTAGATACGGTCTTGGTTGTATCTACTATGTTTAGTAGTAAACGTATATTTTAAAATTTATATTTCAATTTTTGAAAATAGATTGGGAATTACAGTAATGCAAGATCATTTGTACAAATGTATAATATAGGTAGAGAAAACGACATTCTTGAGTTCTTGGACTTTGAAGACATCATTGAACATTAATAATTCGAGAAAAGTTTGTTTTTTGTAAAAAAAAACTGTTTATTCATTATAAATATTTTTTTATTTTAGATTCTGATTAATACTATGATGTGTGTTTTATTTTTTAAATTTTTATTTTTGTGAATGTATACATAAGTTCGACCGAAAGGGTTGTCGCTACTCCAAAAACATAAATTGTAACGATCTGGAACTTTCACTGAAAACTTGTACTGCGATTCGTTTAGATCTATTATCGGCAATGTTTTTGGACCCTTGAGTCATATTCACAAATTAAAAAGGGTTCACGGGTTAGGTAATACAAAAAATGTATGTATTAAACTATTGGAATAATTTTAAAAAAAATACGGCCAATGGGGGGGTTCAATGCCCCTCCACCCCCCCCCTAAGTACGCTACTGCTAGTAATGAAAACAAATTGAGAGTGAATTACAAAAAAAAATAAATATTTTATAAGCATTAAGTATTAAATCTTGATAAAATTCGGCAATAATGACGAAAATCCCAAACATTTTTGTAGTGAAAAATAAAATAAATTATTCTTTCAATTTTAATACACAATGCTGTATATTATCACAGAATATTATATACAAGATTTTTCATAAGGTACAATATCGATCATAGATGTGTTTTTTTTACAAATATTATGGCGCATCCAGACGGAGCAACTTTTGCCGCGCGGCACGTGTGTGAATACATAAATACATTTTCCGCGGTTTTTTTGATGCCGCACGGCATAATTTTCGATCGGCCTAGTAGGTGGTCTACATCAAAAGAAACCCGCTCACCTATGCCGCGTGTGTGTAGACTTATTGTCGGCAAAGCCGTATCAGTACTTATTTTTTAAGTATTAAAATTATTTTTTAGGTAATTAGTAGCAGAACAAACTTTTTTCACCGAGGTAAAACTGATTTTTGTAGTAATCTCCAGTAGATACAATTTTTATTTTATCAAAATTTCAATACTGAAGATTCCTCCGATGACATTTTGGCTCTAACTGATTTAGTCCAAATTATTGTCTACTGGAAGATAATCGGGAAATAAATGCCGCACCGTGACGACGCGTATTTGCCGCGCGGCAAATGCTGCTCCGTCTGGACGCGCCTTTAGAGCAATAATTATTCCACCTTTAGTTCAACTTCAATCTTTAGAAACACCAGTGGCGGCTCGTGGCTTGGATGATGGGACGATCGCACCCCCTACTATTATTTATGAAAACAATAAAATGAATTCTCATAGTAATAGTATACTTTTTAATAATTTAGTATTTAAAATACTAAAATGGTGATTTTCAAATAATCAAAATAATAATATTATAAATGAGTCGTCCAGTTGCAAAAGGTAGTATGTCCAAACAAATAAAGTTTTCAAAAACAGCAAAAAACTGATATTTCCATTAATATTTTATAAAACGTCACCATTTTTTTTTCATAAATATATATAAAAAAAAACATTTTACTTTTTTTAGACTATAGAAATCGTGGATAAGTAGTTTTTTAAATAATTTATATTTAAAATTGGACATATTCCCTTTTGCAACTAAAATATTGACATACTACCTTTTGCAACTGGACGACTCAAATGTTGTTGAATGCAATCGAATGGATTACCATGTGCATATGCCATAAGTACAAATGCGCATAGATGAAACTAGGATAAAAAATTTGGAGGGGCTACAGCCCTTCTAACAAAACTTAAAATAACTTGTATTTTACCCCTACTCTTATATACCATGTTAATGAATTTTTGATTCTGAGCCCGATTGGATTTACTGTAATGTGTCTTTTTTTTATATGTGACACTATTGTGAGTTAAGTATGCTGTATGCCAGTGGCGTATACAGAAAATATTTTCGGGATGGGCTACTATGGACAGTGTTAATTTACCACTGCTATCTATAAATTACTAACAAGACACAGTAGCTACTTATCTACATTTCACTTACAGAATGTCCCAAAACGATTTGACGTTGGACGCAAATTCTAAATAAGCATTAAGCACCATTAAAACATAACATACGTTTAAAATTATTTTTTAAGTTTTTTTAAAACATTTCGGTGAGAGGGGGTAGTAGCCCACTATCCCCCCTCCTATATACGCCACTGCTCTATGCGGTATGCCATGAATAACATAGAATATATATAGGGTGGCTAAATCTTGATCCAGGGGCGCTAAGCCTCCCTTAGCCCCCATAGTTGCGCCTATGCGAATGCGCTGCATGCGTATCTACCTATTACTGATGAGTGCTGGGCGATAGCCGCCACTTTTGGACGAAAATCGTCGTCCATACTTCTTTATACAATATTGTATATATCGTGTTAGGCCGCGCCGAATGTGTGCGTGCGGATACGATTAAGCTGCGGTATCCCACAAGCCTATGGACGACACACCGCCTCGCCCAAACATATAAGTAAATATCAATGATAATTTTTTTCTAAAATTTTAATCTGAACAGTTTACCCGCGGATTATGGTCAAAGCCGGATTGAGTGGGTGTCTAGCCGGAGCGGTAGCCCCGGAGTCCAAACACTTTTAAATCGATACACATTTTTTATCATACTAAAATCAGTAGTTTTATAGACATACATTTTATATACCTATTAATTTTATAATGCGATTGACAATTTGTGAAATAGTTAAAAAAATGTATCGGCTTAAAATTGGCACAAATAAGGTTACATCATTATATCCTTATCTAGTATTCTAATGCAACAACAACGATTGTACGACCAGACGCAACATAGACCATCCATAGCAAATACAATAGAATAACGTAGGTACATCATATAATTTATTGTACTACAAACA